GAGGTCAGCAAATGTGCTGACGAAATGTTGCTGAATATAATTAAAATTAAGTGAATTTCCATTTCACTATTTCCCTTCTTTCCATTATTACAAAATTTATCATTAAACAAACACTAGGTTAGCTAACAAATACTACGAGGGTAAGTCAATAAGTCCTTAGAAAATCCAAGAGATGGGGCTCAAAGCATCCAAACTTATATTGCACTAGCAAGCGTCACTATTAAATAGAGTGCTGCCTAAGTTTCAGCCAGATCCATCAAGTATAGTAGTTCCGTTTTCATCATCGATCAAAGGGAACAACTTTTATTTCTTATTAACAATGAAAAAAGTGAGATCCGAGCACTGATAAAATATTTCTATTTAAAAGGCCTCACACCGAAAGAAATCAAAGCTGAGCTAGATGCAGTTCATGGTGTATCTGCCCCTGTATTTGGAGCTGTTTACAATTGGGTAAATGAATTTAAACGTGGCCGTACATCAACTGCAGATAAACATCGTTCAGGCCATCCTGTAGACGTGAGCATTCCGGAAATGATCAAAAAAATCCACAACATGGTGTTGAGTGACCACAGAATAAAATTGCGCAAAATAGTTGAAGCCACAAGAATTTCAAAAGGTACAGTCATTTTTTTTGCATGAAAAATTGGACACGAGAAAAATTTTTGCAAAATGGGTGCCACGTTTGCTCTCAGTCGAGAAGAGAAGCAGTCGAGTGATGGCCGCTGAGGCCCTCTTGGCGTACATCCACCATAATCTGGATGACTTTCTGCATCGATTCATGATTGTAGTCGAAACGTGGATAAACCATTACACTCCTGAGGCGAAGGAATAATCGAAACAGTGGATTGTGAAATGTCAACCAGTTCCAAAGAAGGAGAAGACAGTAAAATCGGCCGACAAGGTTACGGCCACTGTTTTTTGAACTGCACGTAGAATTATCTTCGTCGACTATTTAGAAAAAGAACAAACAATTATCAGAGATTATTATGCGACGTTGTTGGATCGGTTAAGCGAGAAAATAAAGGAAAAACGTCCTCGTTTGAACAAAAAAGAATTCTGTTTCACCAAGACAATACACGAGTGCACACTTGCTCAGTTTCAATGGCTAAAATTAAGGGATTGAAGTTCAAATTAATAGATCATTCACCGTATTCACCATTTGCGCCTAGTGACTTTTTTTTATTTCCAAACCTAAAAAAGTGGTTTGCTGGACAATGATTTATCTCGAACGAGAAGGTCATAACACAAACAAATGACTATTTTGAAGAACTTCCGAAATTAGTTTTTTTTTATGGCTTAAAAAAACTTGATGGAGGCCTGGAAAAGTGTATCGAGTGAAAAGGAGATTATGTTAAAAAATAAAAAAAATTTACAAAAAAAATTGTTTTTCTATCGTTTTCTCAGGCCTTATTGTCCCAATCTCGTAAATCTCCAAACGAAAAATATGATATTTATTAATGGGAACGGGAAAATCAAATTGTTACCAGTGTATTGTCTCTTCAGACGTAGTATTTGTGAAGAATTATTCTCTACATTTTTCTAAAAATTAAACCATAGATTTGTAAATAAATATGGTTTGATACCCCTGATCTACATCATGTATTTCTATTTCTAGAAGGAAATAGGTGTATAAGGCTTTGAAAATTAATAAGAATATCTGATATCGACAAGTGAAATGAAATTTCAGCAACTTTACAAATCTCTAATTTAGTTTTAGATTAGTCATAAAATTACATGTACACGATGACCCATTTTAATCGCCGCAGCCGGATTACTCGGAACCTAAGCCAGATAGGGCAAAATGGTTCTGACAAAAGTTGTAAAGAGCAAAGGGGGCAATACAATAGGGCTAACGCTTTTGACCTTGAACTTGACCTTCAAGGTTATTTCAAGGTCAAAGTGTTTTTTTTTAATGGGAACCCATATTTTTGACATCGGATTCGGAAAGAACGGGAAATTTTACGTCCATAATGATATTTAGCAATTTTTTTTCATGACCTTGAGAAAGGAATTTCAAGATCAAATGTTACAAAATCCTATGATTGCTATTTGCTAGCCTTTTCTCATGAATAGCAACCCCATTATTACAACGAGCTTGAAAATGTTGACCTTGCAAAGATTTTTCTTACTTTTAGCGTTACCCAGAAACAACAACGTGGACGTAGTAAGGTTTGTTTCCTTTGGGGTGCTTGTTTCACGTGAGACTCCTTGCCTCTCACGATGGAGTGCTTGTTACACGTGAGTCCCCTTGCCTCTCACTAACCTCGAAGCAAGTGTTCGAAATGACGACCATTTGCTTCAAGACACATTGTCAAACGCCTTTGAAAATGGCGAACGGTATTCAACAAAGTTTGCCTCGGAATAGCAGCGCATGCTCGACGAATCCTGTCCTGCATATCTGCTCTTCTAGTGGGTTGTTGCTCAAAAACAGCATTTTTTAAGTATTTTTTTTTTGCAGACATGTCTATGATTATGTGTGAATAATTACATTATCAAAATTAGTATTTCTGTAATTCGAGCGCTATTAATTCACATTTTTCACATAAAACAAAAAATAAAAAGAAGTTTTACTTTTATTTACAATCAAAATAAGAAATAATGCTTAATTGAATTGAATACCTTGAATTTTTTGACGATTATTTCCATTTAAAATTTAAAATAAAAAAAATGTGATTAATGAATTATTTTTGGCAATACAGTTAGCTAAATAAAGTTACCGTAATTTTCCAACATTTTTCCTTTTTTATTTACATTTAATAGTTATTAATAGCTGGTTCTGAAATGGCTGACTATCCACCCAACGAGATCGTTGATATGATTTTGGTTTTAAGAGCAAGCCAAAATGATTATCGTGCTGCGGCAGGACTTTATGCTGAATGCTATCCTGACAGACGACACCCTGATGATAGAGCTATCAGACGTTTGACCCAAAGAGCTTGTGGTAGACACATGGCTCGTCAACGTAGGCGCCATGAGTATGATGAAAATGATAATCGAGTTGTGGCTATCCTTGCAGTAATTCATCTTGATCCACATATTAGCGCTCGTCGAGTGGAAAGGAAAATTGGTATTTCAAGAAGTACTTTTTTAAGAATTATGACAAGGCTTCGATATCATGCCTATCATGTCACTTTGGTTCAAGAGATACAGTTTGAGCATTTCCAACAGCGAATTGTATTTTGCCAATGGGCTATACAAACGATACAAAATGATCCAGACTTTCTTAACTTTGTTTTGTTTTCCGATGAGGCCAAATTTTAAAGTGATGGGGAACTAAATAGGCATAATTGCCATTACTGGTCTGATGTAAATCCTTATTGGTACCGAACTGTAAACCATAAAAGACGTTGGAGTGTTATGGTGTAGTGCGGGATTGTCAATGGACACTTGATTGGTCCTTATTTTTTTGATACAAACGTAAGTCAACATAGTTACTTGCGGCTAAGAAGAGATGAACTGCCTGGATTGCTCGAAGATGATAACTTAAAAATGCGACGAAGAATGTAGTTCCAGCAGGATGATGCAACACCACATTTTGCTCGAATCGTAAGGGCTTTTTTGAATGAGCACTATGGTAACAGATGGATTGGGCGAGGAGGTCCGGTTAACTGGCCTGCTTGCTCACCCGATCTTACATCACCAGATTTTTATTTATGGGGGTACTTAAAAATGCTGTTTATGAACAACAACCCACTACAAGAGCAGATATGCAGGACAGGATTCCTCGAGCATGCGTTGCTATTCCGAGGCAAACTTTGTTGAACACCGTTCGTCATTTACAAAGGCGTTTGACAATGTGTCTTGAAGCAAATGGTCGTCATTTCGAACACTTGCTTCGGGGTTAGTGAGAGGCAAGGGGACTCACGTGAAACAAGCACCCCAAAGGAAACAAACCTTACTACGTCCACGTCGTTATTTCTGGGTAACGCTAAAAGTAAGGAAAACCGTTTCAAGATCAACATTTTGAAGCTCGTTGTAATATTGGGGTTGCTATTCATGAGAAAAGGCTAGCAAATCGCAATCATAGGATTTTGTAGCATTTGATCTTGAAATTCCTTTCTCACGGTCATGAAAAAAAATTGCTAAATACCATTTTGGACGTAAAATTTCCCGATCTTTCCGACTTTGATGTCAAAAATAGGGGTTCCCATTAAAAAAAAAAACACTTTGACCTTGAAATAACCTTGGAGGTCAAGTTCAAGGTTAAAAGCGTTAGCCCTATTGTGTTGCCCCCTTTGCTCTCTACAACTTTTGTCAGAATCATTTTGCCCTATCTGGCTTAGGTTCCGAGTAATCCGGCTGCGGCGATTAAAATGGGTCACCGGTATACTATTCAAATAAAATTTGTGTTACTCATAAGATACTTTATTCTGCAACCATGGACCCTTGGTTATAACTTACTTCCTGCGATCTCTTTATTCTAAACATAACTCTTCACCTAGGCATATATTCCTTGCTGCGTGTTTACGGTGTTTGCGCCTGGATGTCGTAAACATCTGTGGTCCTCGCGTAGCGTAGCTGCATCGCACATGCGACCTTAAGATCTCGCGACAAGCCGGCATATTTTTCCGGCTACCTGTGCCACGTTTGGGCCAGGATCAGCTGTAGCACATGTGCGATGGGGCTTGCGTGTCCTTGTCAACATGTAGCCGTTCCTGACACTCCCTGTAATGCGACGCGTGCGGGGTCCGACCGTGCGACACGCTCTCATTCCAATCAGCTCTAGATAAAGATCTCTATACTACTAGATCTCTATACTCTATACATAGAGATAAAGATCTCTATACTGCGTCGCGGGCCATTAGCACACGGGGCGGGGGGGGGGGGGGGTAGAAATGCCCCGCGCAATTGAGCCGAGTATCGCTTTTCTGTGGGCCAGTTTTTAGTTTGTACGTCCTTCTTGACGGATCGGGACTTGTCTAACGCTCTTAGACAAGTCAAATTTCTGTGCGCTGCGGTGATAGTTCCTTTGAGTAAGAAAAGCATTCGGCGTGTTACAGGCGAGAACACCAACCATCACCGCGACCAGTGACTTGTGGCTGCTACCACGGACAGGGCAACCTGCTGCCGTAGGTGAGGATGTGACCAGCCCTCAAAAGTGCTTCCAACCACGCGTCCCTGCGCCCACCAAGTTACTCAGGCGGCGCTATAGTGAGGGCTGTCCCCGTTCCCGAGACGTCGGGGCTACATCGCACCTTATAACCTGGAGGTACTTTCCGTCTCGCTCTCTCTCTCTCTCTCTCTCTCTCTCTCTCTCTCTCTCTCTCTCTCTCTCTCTCTCTCTCCCTCTCTCACGAGTCCTGAGGCGGCTGGTAAGTGGAACTGATTATCCACCGGACCGCGCGCGCGTACGCGGAAAATTGTAAGGGCGAACGCCGCCTGTGCATCCAGTTTAATTGTTCCGAGGTCTCTATCGATGTTTGCGCTCTATTTCGTTTTGTACTTGTATAAACAAAGTTGCCGCATCGAAAAGGCTTTTCCCCACTTGTGACTGGGGTTTTTATACCGGCTAGGTGCGGTTTATTCCCTAATCCGTGGGATACGTCTGCGTTTTTATTTTTTTCTATGTAACTTGAACCTCCCAACAATATACACTTCTTTAATCCCGCCTAGTTCTCACTCTCTCTCTCTTTTCTACTACTACTTGAAAACACTGCGAAAAATATAATTTTCGGCTGGGAATTTATTACCATTAACTGAGTTTTGAGATTTCCATTCAAATTGTGATTTATTAATCTTCCACAGTAGCCAGTCTCTTCACTAGCATCGATACTATAACAAAATAAATAACGTCAACAACGGATTCGTTTTAAATTTCAAGTTCGAGCATTGGATAACTTGATCAAAATCAGAATAGTAATACAGCCAATGAGCATTTGAAAAAAAAAAATATTTATATTTATTAAAAGTAACAATAACAATAAATATAACTTGCAACAGTAATCGATTGAAAGTATCGATTCGTTCGCGGATCGGTAGCACTCGAGGCGTGCGAGTTAACGATTTGGAGAGAGAGAGAGTCCGCGCGAGAAGTAAAATTAGTATCATTAGAGCTGGCAAGAGAGATAGGTGTTGATTCTTATAAAGTGTCCAGTGTGAAAATCGTTGTGAGGCCTCGCTAGAATTTTATGAGCGAGTAGTGTCCGGTTTTTGAGCTAACATCATACCAGCCGCAACCAGCAGCAACCAACAGCAACTATCAACAATACTGGCCAGCAGCAAATAGCACGCAGCAGCAACGGCAGTAGCTACAGCTGTTTTGACCAGGAGCTCCCGGTACTTTTATTGGCATGCACTGTTACAGCTGATCACCGTGACCTAACATAACTGCGACTGTATCTTTTCGTAGTACCGCGTGATAATTATTACATGAGTCGAATAACCTGTTAGGTAGCCACGCCGAGCGTTAGGTCTCATTGAATTTTGTATCCTCACTCTCTCTCTCTCTCTCTCTCTCACTCTCCGGAATATAATGTAAATCTATACGCGCGTGAAAGTCTTTCGGCCTGTACAAAGATTGTATAGTCTAGCTCATTGAAAAGATTTAATTAATTCCTTGCTTATTAATCTTTCGCTCCCTAACCAACGTTTCATCCAATTCCAGTACTTGAATCGATTTAGTATAGGGGATTGGAGGGAAGTAAGCATAAGCCTGTTTACACAGTATGAGTAACAAGGGTCAGCAGTCAAGTGACTCAAGGTGAGTTTACTATTGGGAGTTACTTGAAGTTGGATTGAAGTGACAGATCCACAGGTGAAGACACGTATTCCCATACGTAGTTAACAGAGTGGCGGTTAGTTCTGCACCACGGGATTGTGCAATACAATTTTCTCCATTTGAATGACTATTTCCCCTTTTGTTACGTGTCACCCAATCAGTATTAAGACCTACAATAGGCGTATAGGTTTGTGTGTCGAAGGTAATCGTCGCACGGGAGAGAGAGAGACGATTGCGCGAGCGTTTAGGAAGGTTTGAGCGGATGATTACGCTAGATTTGTGCGGTGTGCACTCTGCAAGAGGGAAAAAGGAATTGCTCTGACCTTGTATCGATTTTAAAGATTATTGTACGTTAGAGCTAAAAGAGTGACTAACCTAAAACGCTAAGCAAGGTTGACGTGTTAGTATAGTTATATTTCGTATTAGAAAACCTGGTGACAAACGCGCCAGACGAATGAAATGAAGAAGATCAGGCAATGCAAATTCTCCGCGAAACAACCAGGAGTGTAGGAAAAACTTGGGAGATAGGTCTCATGGAAAAGTGATAATCTGCCGAAGCTGAACACGAGAGCGACCGCGCTAAGAAGATTGCCTGCGGTAAAAAGATAACTTGATCGCAATCCGAAACATGCAGAATTTTATTATCAAGAGATGGATTATCTGTTCTAAAACAGATATACAATAAAGATGCCGAGCTGCGATAAAGAACCAAGGGAATGTTACGTACGTATCTTACTTTTGGGTAAAAAATGTAAACAAGCCCAGAAAGGTGCGCCTGGTTTTCGACGCAACTGAGGAAACCAACGGGTTAGCATAAACGGTTTGCTGGACACTGGACCAGATCTCCTTGAATCTCTCCTCGGCGTGCTTTTATGGTTCAGACAACACCCGTTCACGGTAGTGGCAGGTGCAACAAACCCGACCAAGCGTGAGTTCAGTAGCATATTCATACGATCCTCTGGGTATTCTCGCCTAAGTTAATGATGCAAGATATGTGGCACAGCGGAGTTGAATGGAACGCGAAGAATAGGAACGAAGAAGCCGGATTGTGGAAGTTGTGGCTGAATCATTTAGGAGAAAGGATAAAGTAATCGAAACCTTCCCTAGCGGAGTTGACGGGGTAGTTAGTCATGAAAATGCGTGCAAGAAAGAGCCAGTTAACGTGACTAGTTCATAAACTCATAAAAATCTGCGAGAGCTTATGAGTAAAATGAATGTATTTGTGAGACGGTGGGATGGAACGTGTGGGAATATGGGAAATCCCAGCTTTGCTAGGTGTAGAAGTTCGGGAAACATGAGAGTCAGGCAAGCGAGGATCACATCAAACCATCACGAATCGGAACGTGCGGATGCAGCCAAGAAAAGATCCACGTGTATATGACGAGAGGCAGCGTCGATATGTATGGGCAACGAATGAAATATGTGCGGCGTATAGGACATGAGAGAGACACTCTGTAGCGGCAAACGAATGCGAGAGTATACGAGTTGAAAATTATTTACTACCACCTGTAAATTTACCAATTAAGAAAGTCTTTGGTGAATACGGACGATCATAAATGTTTACTCTGGTTATTCCTACGATTCGAAGGGTGTAAAAGATAAAATCGATGAAATGATGCAACTTTGAGGAATGAAACGTGTAAGATGATTATTCGATACGTTAAGCCGTTAATTCAACAATTTAAAAAGTCTCTGGTTTAAATGGATGATTAAAGACGCTTACTTTGGTTATTCTAGTATTTCGAAGTGTGTTGAGTGGAAAATAGTTCGACAGGATCAACTGGACCAATCATAGCTAGGATATCATATGTGTCATCAATTATGTATTATAACGAATGGCTTGTAGTTCATTATGTCTCTTTCCCTCCACAAAGCCAGTAATAAATATATTTGTAATATTACTATGTATTTATTTATATGAGATGTTTGCAGTGCTGATGTCAGCAAACCGGTAAGTGACCCGTCAACTCTTCGATAGTCGATAGTAAGCGTGCGACGCGGACCTCGCGGAGATGTGATTATTATCGAGAGGAGAGAGAGAATAGGCGCAATCAGAATAATTAGCTTCAAACCGGTGACCAGTGCATACCTTGGGAGAAGGTCGGACGATACGAGTGCGACGCGGAGAATTGTAGGATAGGAGTAGAACGCGCACGACTAGCAGGATCAGCAGCGATAAACTAGGATCCGAGCGAAAACTTTAAGATGATCGTCTAATAGTGAGAAGCGGACACGTAAGATAGGTCCGCGAAGCGAGTGCGCTACTGAATCCTAAAGGATTAAGCGAGTAATCAGCACTGTAAGTACTGGTTCGTCATATGGCTATCTTACTCGTTTTCGTTCTCTCTCCTCACGCTCGCCTTGTATAATTTTTGGTTTGATCGACTTGCTACTGCGTCTAGTGCGTCGGGCGCATGTTATCATTTCTTTGTGCCGCGTGTTGATGCTTTATCGCGCCGACTGTCGTTCGCCTGCGAATGCGACTGAGTAAGCGTGTCAACTTACAGATTTGTATACGGCGCCCCAGTCCACTTTCTATCGGCGGCGGTTCATTACGTAGTGTGAGCCTGCGTTCGGTTCACTCACGCGGCGCGTACGCTATACTCGTTTATCTCGGATGTATGTCTACGAGTGTTTGTGTTACACTGGCCTATATGACGCAGGCGTGCAGCCCGATTTGCGTCGAGTTTGTGTTCCACAAACTCGATTAAAATTTGTATCAACTTCCCTCTTGCTAATATAAACTACTGTTTACCTGAAATTTGTGCCGAGTTATTGCCTAATCACTCCCGGTCGACTTATAGTGGTCAGTCGCTTTATTGATTCGTGCCCTGTTCCCTCTCGGTTATTCACCGGTTGATCTTCCCATAGCTCACGGGGACACTCTCCGCTGGTCGATTTCTCTCTTGACGAAAGAGGCAACCCAAAACAGCTGGGCCCTGGACGCACCTGTGCAGGAGCATGAGGTTGTAAAGGATAGCGATAACACCTGTTACATATAATTTTCATTCGCAAATAATAATTAATTTTTGTTTCGGCTTCTGTTTGATATACCTCGAGCAAAAGTCCCGTTGCAGTATAATCAATAATCGAATATCTGATAATTTAAGTGAAATCATAAAAGCATTATTGAAATAAAGATACATTTGTTACAATAAATAATAAATTGAAATCTACCAGCGCTATCATATTCAACCTATAAACAATATCTTCCTATATGTTCCGTAAGTAATATATAAAGATTATAATGTTTCGCGATGGCTCTTGTAATTCGGTCTGGTAAAATAATTTGGAATTCGGTTTCGAGCTCAAGAATGATTCGATCATTATCTTCTTCCTTAAATTCTGTCACTAAATAACATCGATTTTCTTCAAGCTCATAATAATTTTTCTCCGGTAGTGGATCAAAAGGCTTCATAGAAATTTTATTCAACATTTCAAAGTCTATCTTGCTATCGAAGACTTGAGAATAGTGGAGAAAGAAGTATATA